CCGGGCCACCACCTGGAGTGTAGTTGACTGGATGAAGATGATCAGTCCATTTATATCGGAATAGTACAGTTGGCGGGAAAAGGATGACGTAAAACAAGAGCTAAATTGGGAGCCCATTTTAAGGACGGGCAGTATAAAGTTCGGGTCGGATGGTTTGCATGCGTTCAATTGGTAGTGGTCAGTAATTACAAGAACTAGACATTACGGAGATATTTCTTAATTTAATCAATGCATGATTAACTCGGACTGGCAAGTTCTACTTGCGTCATTATCGAGGTAAGGATCTGTAGATAAAGTTGTTCAGTGCGACGTAAAAACGACAACTATGCAGTTAATACCAGTTACCAGCTGTTGATGTGTCGCGCGAAAGCAGGTAATTTTGAATTGGAAAGAAGACGCACGAGTGATACCAGCAAAAACGAGTCTCATCAACACTATCATCATCGCACGGCGGAATGCAGCTATGAGAACCTCACATATCGCTTCCACTGTGAACACAAAGTGACTGAGCAAGATAGAGAGGAATTGGGGAAGAAATGAACGGAAACTCGATGGTCAACAGGTAGACTAACCAACTTAACTATGCAAACATACGTTTTTACTCATCCTATTATTTTTATTATTATTATTTACACCAATCTTAACAGATACGGCGCCAAAGATAACCATGGGTGAACAAAAAAATATAGGTACAAAAACGGGGAAAATAAAACAATCAACTTCGAGCAGTAACAATATTTTTTGTTTGTTCACTGCACGCCATTCTGGTCAGTTTTAGTTTATACAACCATTACCAATGCACCTTGGTGCGTCGGTTTTGGTTGATCTGCGTCTAACCTCAGCATTGCTTGTTCGGTGTCCCAATCAGACTCGTGCACAGCGTTGCACGAGTCCGGTAGGGAAACCCGATGAGCCATAGTGAGGTAAGCGCAGAGTTTTAGATGAAGGCGGACGCCCAATGGAGCAAGTGGTCAACCTCCATAAATTAGGTTGTTTGGGGTATATGTCACGCATGTCCCCTCCGAAAGCCTCAGTTGGGGTGTCTAGGATTGCGGCTGGTCACCCTTCCCTTGAACCTCGCAAAATGCTCTCACCAGACCAAGCGTCTGGAATAGCCTCTACTGAGGAAGCCCTACTCACTGCCTTCTCGCGGTGGAGGTGTTTTTCCACCAAAGTGGGAGGATGAATAACCGACATTCGTGGCTATAACCGGATCGGTGGACCACTGGTAGTTCACCTAAGGGAGTTGGCCGAAAACCCTGATTCCAAACCAAGAGGAGGCATAAGAACCACAACCACACGTTTCCGGTTGTGGCAGTGGTCACCGGCTCGTTTGGGCATTGAGGTATATTGGGCACCTTGGGCATCCAAAGGGCGCATGATTCGATTAACTGGACACCGGCCCCCAATGGATTACGGTTTCCACACACCGCCCCGCTGCCTTCCGTACCCGGCTTTGACTAACCTTAGGCTCCGGTTGTGGATTCTTCAAGAACATTCACCAGCCTCGACCTGGGCAACCTGGCATTATTCCGCCCACACGCAAATCGTGCAACCACGATGCTGTGTCGGAAATTGGTACTGGACAGGAACAGATAGTGGTCTGCGCCATTATCTGTTCGCTGGCAGAGCAGAGCACAGCGACCACCTACACAAGCTTACGATTCGATCAGATTTCCAACCTGCGCAGGTACAACTATGTTAGAGCTACGGGTCAACTAGATGTGTTCGTTGATTTTGTCGTAGCCATCGTCCCTTTGGTGTTAGGCAGCCCTACTGTCATCCGGTTAAATGCCACGCCTAACCTATAGCGGCCTTATGTGGTTCGCCACCTCAAGTCCCGGAGCTTAGGTTGCCGGTTTCTATCACTGAACAGCAAATCTTCGTGACTATGGGATTTGCCCCGCCTGCTGTTCATCACACACTGGTGTAATAAAAAAAAATTAAAAAAAGTTGATCGGTACATATGCTGACATGATGAACAAACACCTTTTGGTGTTGCTCCCCTTCCGGACGCTAATTGATCCCGGAAGCCACATCGTTCACATGCGACACTTGACGGATATCTAGTCATTAAGGGAGATGTCCACCCTATCATTCATTACAGTACTCCACACTGATACCGAACGGGCTTGTCGTTGCCCGAAGTAGATGTGTTATAATCCCACAAGACGGTGCCGGGACGAGGATAGTTATTTATTATAACTGTCAGGGTATCGGTAAACTGGCATTCATACAACAAAACATCTCATTTGGAACGAGTCTTCAGAATTTCAACACGCACACAAAATAGTTAATGGAACGGTCAAACAATAGATGCGCATTCCTTTAGTTACCATACTGAACACAGCAATCCGCTCCAACCGGTCTTGTTCATTTTTGACCGTTGAAAGAAATCGCCAATCGCATCCCTTTGCGAACTACTCACAAGTGTGAGCACAACATCTAGAGGACCAAATCGGCGCACTAGAATGACTTATAATACTAGGATCGATAATTCGTATCTCTGATACGCAACAGATATCAGAACCCGAAAGAGTCTATTGTGCGCACCAGACAAGCTTGTTGACTCACCTGCAACAATCACCACGTTGAAATCCACCAGATTCAGTGATTGAAGAGGATTCAAAAGCTGCAATCTATTTTGTGGTAAATTACTTACAGTGTTATTTGGCAAAGACCTTTTGCGGGCGACAACCAAGTTGCTCGAGGGGCTGTTACAGGTTGGAAGGGCAAAGAAAGAGGGTTGGGCACAGAAAAAACAAAGTTTGGGATGTCTAGCCATTCCGACACTAGTGTTTAAAAAGAGCTTACCAATTTCTTCGTGGGCAACGTTTAAATCGCCACAAACAATAAGCGGCTTTTTAGCGTCCAGTTGCTTCAAATATTTCACGAAATCCGGATCCCATTCCTTTTCTCGATAAGGAAGGCGAACAAGACCCTGGCCAGAATTGGGCACATCTAGAAAAAGATAATAATCATAGGAAATAAAATACGTACATGCCGTTACAAAGTAAAATTTGTCATATTCCGCTGTAATTATTCGACCTTCTGTATCGTGTTTGATCATTCCCATACCCAGCTTCAACGTAGTCGGTTTTTGTTTGCAATACAAACCAGTGCCAGCATAACCCTCCTTATCCGCTGGAAACCAATAAGACGTATATCCTGGTAACTTGGATTCAGTCGGCACCTTCAGCGCTGCGCATTTGATTTCTTGAACAGCAAAGATGTCAGGTGATTCTTCTACTACATAATTTGGCCCACCAGCCTGGATGACAAGTGAAAACAACAGCAGATTCATCCTACTTTTATCCAGGCTCGTAGGCCGTTTACATTCCACGAAACTAGTTTGAAGTTCCACTCCTTGATGTCTGATGATGCAAGCGATGGTAAACTGCCTGGGTAAGTGCGACACCAGGCAAACAGCCCATTCGGATCAACTTCTGTTAATGACTTGTTTTTTTCATCACCAAGTGGCTGCTCTTCAACTGCCTTATTCGCCCTCTTCGCTGGCTTTACCGCAACGGAGTCCTTCTTGATTGATTTCCGTTTCATTGCCGTGAGAGGGGAAACTTTAGGGATAATCTGTGCCAATTTTCCAGGTAATGAGAACAGAATTGTCTGAAATGAAAACTAGATGTGTAGGAATAATCGAGGGCAGACAGCCAACAGTTGTGACAGCGAGTTTTTGTATTCAGAATTGCGCACAGATAACAAAACAAAAACTGACTGTTCATTCCTTACCTCGAATTACGAATGCTCTTTGGTACCGGTAACCTGTGATTATTGTGAAGCTAAAGACTGGTATAAAGATATATATATATATATATATATATATATATAAAAGAGCATAAAATGTTGTCCAGGAAGAATACTCTCTGACCAACAACACACGCGACAGTCACTCGCCCCTAATGATCCCAACCAATGCCTGTGACGATTAGTGTGTCATGGAACTGGAATGTTAATTATTTCTTTTTCCATTTTGTCATGATTCCCCCCCCCCTCACCTCTCCTCCACCTACTAAACAGTTTGATACAAAATCACAGAGCAAAAAGACTAAAATTTTAGTATACCGCTACTAATATGCTACCAAATTGCTATAATGTTACAGACTTCGTAGTCATTTTAGCCGGATCACTATGAATCGACTACTAAAACGCTACAAAAACGACTTCAATTGGTGGTCGTTTACGTTGGAAATCGCTACCTGACGTAGCGATTAACCGGACTTCACCCATTATCTCTATCCTTTTGCTGTAAGGCTTATCAACACCCGTGAAGCCTAGCGCCCTGCAGCATTGACCACGTATATTACATTTTCTCGCTTAGACACCTTCCCAGTAAGCAATGGAAAAACACACCACAGATGCAACATCGTGATACACTTATTAATTGAAATAGCTATGGTACGAAAATGGTAGAGAATTGACAAAAATAGATCAAACATCAATAACATTCAACTGCTATATGTTTAAAACAACCTATGTGGATAGTTACCTGACACAAGATATTAGAAAGCAAATCGCTACCAATGTAGTCATTTCGTAGCGAAATTTCGCCACTTGCCAGTATATTGGCATGTGGAAGAATCACCGCAAACGAGCTTGTTCGCTACTGTGCTCTTTCTGACAAAACACCCGTAACGTTTCTTGACGGCACGTCCTCTACGCACAAACGTCGATCCGAAATAATCGACTCCCGAGACTACGATAAGAACACAACATTGTACGGTACGGCCGCTAGGCAAGGGAGCCATGGCTTTTTGGAACGGTTGAGAGAACCATCTACGACATCTGCAGCACCCGCAACACCGACTTTATCGTTTCCTTCGTTCGCAAAATCCAGCATTGATCTCTCAGGATTGAGATGAGGTAGCTGAGTCTTACATGACTATTCATCTCGTAATGTCGAATTAGAAATCGAGTAGCGAAGTGGTGCGACGGCATTATGATGGGTGTCATGTATAACACTCTTTGTCTACTGCATGTCGCTGTATTCGTAACATTTCTCTTTTATACGTTTTAGCCTATATGCCACGGTTGTTAGACGAATAAAGCTTTACATCTCTGGGCTCTCAATCTTCTCTCTCTCCCGAGCAACTACCGACTGTTGTCATCTCGTATTCAGTACATAACAATTTATTCGTCTAACAATGGATGGGCCTTATCGACCGGAACGCTTTGACGCGGATCCAAGTTGTCCCTCAGCCGAGAAAGTCTGGAATCATTGGCTTCGCACATTCACCTTGTTTATCGCCAGAGCGGCGAAATCAGATGACGAAAAGCTGGAGCACCTCATTGGATGCGTTTCTCCCATCGTTTACGAGTATATTGCCCAGAGTGAAACGTTCCAATGCGCAATGACGATCCTAGAGAAGCTTTACGTGAAACCGAAGAACGAGGTTTTTGCTCGACACAATGTCTACCAGTAAACAGAAGGCAGGTCAGAGTCTTGATCAGTTTATGCAGAAGCTGAAATCACTTGCAAAAGACTGCAACTTCGTAGCCGTCACGGCCGAACAAAACCAAAATAACGCCATACGAGATGCTTTCATCAGTGGAAGGCAGTTCAGTAGCATCTGCCAACGCCTCTTGGAAAACCGGGCACTGGACCTAGAAACAGCATACGACCAGGCTAGAACCTTGGAGATGGCATATCAGCAGTCCAGCGTTTTCTATCCAGTCGATTCCACTTACACAGCTGCAGCCGTTTACCCCAAGCCACAGAACGAGTCTACATCGAGCTTGGTGCCTCGCCAACCCAATTCACTGGAAGAAAGTATAGCCGCTATGAGCAACATTCGCTGTTTCTTCTGCGGATATTCCAAACATCCGCGTTTCAAATGTCCGGCTAAAGATGCGATCTGCAAGTCTTGCGGAAAAAGGACGTTATCAGAAGGTTTGTCGATCCAAGCCAAACTCAAATTCATCGTCTCTCTGATATCCTCCATCACTCCCGCTGCAGCTCCATTATGTCTGTCCAATGCAGTCATCCGGCTCTCTATAAAGGGAATATCTCTCCAGGCTCTCATTGACACAGGCAGTTCTGCTAGTTACATATCGCACTCTGTGGTACGAAAACATAAGTGGAAGGTTGAAAAATCTCGTAGTGCTGTATCGATGGCTTCGATGAACTTAACCAGTTTCACCCACGGACATTGCCT